ACTGCAGCCTGTTTACATAATTATTAGGGGGACTCTGTAAACTTTACCAGCGTATGTTTATCTGGTCGGAATGTACATTTCCTCTCCTTCTCTTTCTTCTCGTCAGCGGTTCAGCGAGGACGAATGCCTCCGACCCAGCCCAACCCAGGCCAGTACGCCCTGACGAACGGGGATCCTCTGAACGGGCATTGCTATTTATCTGGATACATCTCGTTATTACTGCGGGCCGAGCCTTACCCGACGTCCCGATACGGCAGCCAGTGCATGCAGCCTAACAACATTATGGGCATCGAGAATATCTGCGAGCTGGCCGCACGCCTGCTCTTCAGCGCCGTTGAGTGGGCCAGGAACATCCCTTTCTTTCCAGATCTGCAGATCACGGACCAGGTGTCTCTTCTCAGGCTGACTTGGAGCGAGTTGTTTGTGCTTAACGCGGCTCAGTGCTCCATGCCCCTTCACGTGGCCCCGCTGCTGGCCGCGGCAGGCCTCCACGCCTCCCCGATGTCCGCCGATCGAGTCGTGGCTTTCATGGATCACATTCGTATCTTCCAGGAGCAAGTCGAGAAGCTCAAGACCCTCCACGTCGACTCGGCAGAGTACAGCTGTATCAAAGCAATAGTGCTGTTCACGTCAGGTGAGTGTCAAGCAAGAGAGAGAAAAAAAAACACCAGACAGGCCTTAGGCTTGGGCAGATGCAGACGTGCTGCAATATGATCTCGAAACACGAATGTCCACTTTCTATATAGTGTGACGCCATATCACGAAGTAGGACAAGTTTTAAAATAAGTTATATTGCAATCGTAATATTTAATGCATATAATATGTAGGGCCATATATTGTTACGTACGGCCAATAAATGCATTTCTAACATGCAGGGCAGTGGATGCGTATTCTTGCGTTTGTTTTTATTTGGCATTTGTCTCTTCGTGGTTTTGCTTTACTCCGTAAGATGTGCGCCGCATTAGCTTTGAAGAAACAGGGGACTCTAATGCAAAAATGCATTTTAAGAAAATTCAGTATGACCTGACCTTAAAAAATGACCGATATTTTCCCGGCGGACTATCATCTGTGTTGACGTGAACATACAGAGTTTTTTTTTTTAAGTCTTAGCACTAAACTCATAAGTACTTGTTAGTAAACTTGCTGTTGCTTCCAAATCGAGTTGTAAGTGCAAGAGTGATGCAGTGGGTCCCATCGCGGAAGGATACTCCGCGTAGCACGTAGGCCTCAGCCACGCGTTTCTTGAAGTCTAGATAAATTTGTCACTGCTGCACATACATGAATGTAAGATGCAAAACAAGTTTCACATATGACATATATTATATGACTATATATTATATAATTGTCACCCGTATTTTGCTAACTTACATAGTTAAGATGCCCGCAAAATGCTAGATTTTGTAGTTGGGCGATGCAGTGCATATTGTGAATTCAAGCCTGTTTATTAACAATCCACTGGGAGTACACCTGCATGAAATATTTAATTTTGTAGTTTTTTTAATTTTTAATTTTTTGCAAGCTAGAATAAAGTAAATCTATGTTTCGCAGACAGCTGAATATGGATCGAAAATGCACCATACCTGTATTGTTTTACTGTTAATAAGATGCATGTGTAGGTGTAACGTATAAAAATACTTATTTCTGATACGGCGTTTTTCATTTAAAAATAGATGCGATCTGGCAAACAAGGGGAGGGAAAGACCGTGTAGTGTGGTGACAGCAGACAGTCTGCTTTTGCTCCAGTGCCTTGTATATTGATTTAGTTCTTTGCTATGTAAATGTTAAAATCATAATTTCCGTTTTGCGTATTTTTATAATAAATATTTCGATTTGTCATCGCCATAAACGAGATTATGCGTGAAGGTATTTGCCGTTGTCCATTTTGCATTTTCATTTGTTAATGTCTATTTACGTTTCTATAGGAGTAATTTTCATTTTGGGGGAAAATATGAAGGCGTCTCAATAAATTCTGAACATATTTTGATGTAACACCATAATGCTTGTATTAGGTTTTACTGTCTTAACAAAAACAACAAACGTCTTTCTTCCCCCACTTGACGCCAACTGCCTGCACACATAATTTTATTTTTAATTCAGTCCAACAAAAGCTTTCTTCCCACATGTTTTAAACCGCAGTTATTTGTATTAGTATTTAAGCAAGTAATTGAACATTATTTCTTATTTTTGTAGTTTCTGTGTCGAAAACTGCGAATAATTATCGCTGTCGACGAATGTAGCCTACTGTCCGTAATTTTTTCTTCTACAACATGGGCGCATTACACGTAAAACGGTCTTATACCCATTGTGCACATATTGAACGATGCATGACAGTATCTGGCCTGACACATTAGGATTCCGAATGTCTTTAGTTTCAAATAAGGCAGCGCCTATGTAAGTACTTATAAATCTGTTAAGGGTGAGCGAGTGTTAGGCTATAGACGGTAATCGCAGATATAAAGGTAGATTATTCTTAATTTTGTAAATTATGAGAATTATTTTATTTATATTGGTGGTTTTTCATTCTTCTGGAGATTAATAAGCAGTTTTGGGTTCCGGGTAATGCAGAGATTGCATTTTAAGCACGAGGCCTGCGGTGTTTACGTAACAGCGGCAGGTTAAAGAGATTCTGCCTCAAGGATAGACTTTGATATGATGTTAGGGTTGATCAGCACTATCCATATCACAATAAAGCGAAACACTTATTATGTTATTATCCAGTCGGGTATTGCTGTTGGTTATTATAAATCCTCCTTAATATTAAGTATTGTTTTTTTTTTCTTTCATTAATACTTCGTCAACGCCTAGAAAGTCTATTGCGTACAGCACCTGCAAAACGGTCTTAGATCTTAAGCCTGGATATGAATTCAAAGATATGCTTGGTTCTTTACCAAGGGAAACTAATACCAGTAAGTATTAAAGATTAACTATGAGATGTCTGATATCGTTGCCTAATTTTTAGGAGATTACGGTAATTCTGTATGGCACTTTATACGTTGTAGTGACACGTCAAACGAAACACAAGGGGCCCCAGTGACAAAACTGTGCTCCTGGTATCCCAATTTCATTTATATATGAATACACACACACAAATATGTATATTTATACATATATATTATATATATATATTTTTTTTCCATAACTGATTATACATTAATGTCAAACACACTAAACAGTGATATTCCAATTGACCACCATCTCTGATAAAAAGCCACACTGCTGTAGGCGTCCTGGGTTGTTTGCAAATGCAAACCTCGTTGGATTACTTTCCCAGTGAGGTCAAGAACAAAATGTATCGGACACGATTCTGCGGATGTTCTTGTGCGGTATTGTCAGGGCTTTGTTGTGTGTTGACCCGCTTTAAAGCTCGCTTGCTTAGCCGTCCACTTCCCAAATGGCTTTGCTGTTTTACCATGATGGGGCTTCACCAAAACAAAACGCTCCCCTTAAACCAAAACCCTTTCAGGTCTCCTGTGTGTTGCTAGATTATTATCAGGGCATCCGTAGCTATATAAACTTTAGTAAATTCATACTTCATACCCCGTCTTTGTACTACTCAAAACACGAGTCTCCTTTAATCATCCAGAGTGGAATATTTAATTTCTTTGATTGCTTTATAGCAAATACCATGTATTTCAATGTGCTTCATAAAGGAGTATCAGTTTGAGTGTGTTTGTATGCTTATGTATAACGATAATTCACAATCATGCTTTAAAACAATGTCTTTTTGTGTCCGGTTGGGGTGCACAGACGCTTGCGGCCTATCGGATGCGGCTCACATTGAAAGCCTGCAAGAGAAGTCACAATGTGCCCTTGAGGAGTACGTGAGGAGCCAGTATCCCAACCAGCCCAGCCGCTTTGGAAAGCTCTTACTGCGCCTGCCTTCACTTCGCACTGTTTCTTCATCAGTGATCGAGCAACTTTTCTTCGTCCGCTTGGTAGGTAAAACGCCCATTGAAACCTTGATCCGGGATATGTTACTATCCGGGAGTAGCTTCAACTGGCCGTATATGTCAATTCAATGATCCCAGTAAGGGGGAAAAAAACACGACGGAAAAGGACCAAAACAGCCACCCGAACCTGAAGACTGTATGGACCTCAAACGAAACGAACAAAATTGAAGGACCTGCTTTTTGGTCGATATTATTATATCATAAATATTGATTGTTTATTTGTTTGCTTGTTGTTTTTTTTTTTCTTTTTTGTGACTTTAGATGGAATTCATTATGTACAGAAACAAGGGATGTACTCGTGTATCTCCCTGATGAACAAGAACACTGGTCTTCATTTGGTAAAATATTAGTCTCTATTTTCATTTTTGTACAATCACAAAATGAAAATCAGGAAAAATCCTCGTATGCTCAATAAACGAATCAAGATTTAGTGGGAAAATAACGTTTCCATACAACTATAAGAAGTGTCACGTGTCTATGTATCTCTGTTTTGTATTTTCATTTTTTTCTGGTTCAAAACCAGATTTTCTGTGATTACATACTAATAATTTTATATAACCTTTTGCTTCTTATAACAAGTGCGATATATGTTGTCGAAGCTATGTTCTTCAAGAATTAAAATTGAATTGAGAATCTAAACAGAAAAATAAATAAATATAGACTGAAAAGGACATTGCCTACTCGCTTTGAACAATATTGTGATTTTTATTATAATTATTATTATTGATGTCACGCACCTGCGATTCAACTGCAAACTTGACCTCATGGACATTTTATACCCAGGACACGCAGTTTGATTGGTCATAATATGTTAAGTATCGTTTTGCAGCTAAAATGAGAAATATGATTGACAAATCAAAAGCACTTTTAATATATAGTTTAAAATACAGAATGTGTGTTTGGTCTTGAACTTTTAAAAAATTTTGCTGGTTGTCTAATTTGCTGCTGTCATGCGAGGATGTTGCAGAAAAGGTCAACGATGGGGTTAATTGAGATTAAAGAACTGTTCTCCCTAAAACATTTTTACGTTAAAATCGCGCGAAGATAAGTTTGGGGCGTCTTAAAATTGTTGCAGCAAACTGAACTGCGTGAAAACGAGTGAACAGGAAAGCGCTGCGACCTTTACGTCATAATCTTTTTATGGATTATTTTAATAGCTAAGCGGGAAGCAAATACAGTACTTTTATTTCATTAAACATTTTGGAAATCAACCATATTACATTTGCTTCGCTTTTTTATAATCGGATAAAACAGTGTCACATATACGTGTCGTAAACAGGCCTGTGTTACGCAAGGGAACCGTCACATTAACTTCGAAGAACAGCGCGTGCTGACAGGTGTACAGGTAACCTGCTTTCCTCATTAGAGCGCCTAACTAGCCCCAGTTTGAATCCCCGTTGCGCTATTGCGTTGAGCAAATGGATACGTCATGGCCATTCAGTTGAAGTAGTTCTCCGGCTTTATCACGTCGTCGTGGAAGTTTCACTTGTGACACACAATGTAACGAGAACTTCAACAACTTTGTTTCTGTAAAAACCGTACAGTTTTTATGTAGTTTGGCGAGTTCGTAAGTTTGATTGATCCCATTAATTTCTGTCAAGATAGTTTCTCTTTTTATTCACTAATTGACTTCTATTACCGCTCAGTTGCTCAAGACTTATTTAAAGTCAAATGTTAACTTCTTCAATATATTTTTAATTACCCATAAGAAAAAAAAACATATTGTATGTGTTGCTCTGCATACTGTGGCTTATCGGTGTTATCAACGTGGCTTAAAATTAATAAATATTATAATATTATTTTCCTTGACATTGAAAAGTTACGGCCAGTAAATGGTCTATCACAACATATCCAATAGGTTTTAATATTTTACGCACAAAATACTTTTACTACAGTTTGCGGTTCCTTTTAAGTATGTTGCTGCATGGATTACCAGGCAACAAGGTGTCGGATTCTCAAAATCGATTAAAAAAAAATTCAGATTTTAATAATAAATATGATGTAGATGATACGGTGGGTTGTTTGTGTGCTGTCTTTCTAAATTGAATTAGCTACGGTGATATTCCATGAAAGACGAACGCCTAATTAAATTTCCTTTTTTGGTGACACATGCTGTCTGAGAGATTAAAAAAATACATATTTAAATTTGTCAAGATTATTCTTACCAGGCGAGTTATTTCTAATAATACAGCGGGGTCTTAATAATATACACTATCTCAACAAAGTCAGCTATAATTAAAACTAAATCGTTCTGCTTTTTGTCGCATATCACAAAATAAGTTCTACCCTATATTTTAAAGTTTCTACGCGGACAAATATTTTAAAAGCCCACTAATTTAAATAGATGCTACTAGCAATTGCTGGCCCTACTTTAGCACGCATGACGGTGCACGAGGCTGTGTTGTTTAAATCAACTCACGCATGTGTATGGTCCCTCGGAAAGTGGCCTTTTTAGTGAAATTTAAAAACAGAAAAGTTAGTAGTCGTGGAAAGTTAGGGGCTCTAACAGGCGCGTCTATGCTGCTCCACATTTGAAAAAAAGTCGAATCTTTTCAACTCAAAGAATTAAAATACACAGCGGCTTTGCAATTCGCCTTGTAAGCCGGACAGCATATTAGGTATAGTATTTGGTCAGTGTTTCCTGTGGGTATTGCTTTGATGGAAGAAACACTTAAAGAGAAAATAAGTCAATCGAATTCGTATTTAAGTGATGGAAAGCGAAAGGAATCTCAGCAGGCCGGGAAGTATTCTAAAACGAGTTAAATATCCATTTACTGTTGTCGTATTCTGTTAATCAATCGACAAGTGAAGCACGCTTTACCACTGGCCTATTTGTTTGCTTACACAAGCAGATGGGTGCGATTTCACGTTTTATATGTCTCCCTGAAAGCGCGTCACATTTATTATATCGAGTTGTCAGAAGGCGTTTTTTAAAACCACGTGTAATCAAGGCGCTCTTCGTACTGTGCCTTCAGAATCACTGTACTGATGGTAGAGCAACTGGCGTTCAGCCCGGAATTGAAACATCGAGATGAGACCTCCAAACAAAACAGTGGAATATTTATTAAATATCTTTTGGATATCATCTGTGGATAAGACAGACCTTAATTCGGATAAGCACGGATGAAAGTGAAACGGTTCACGTATTGTGTGGCTTTATAGCACTTTATCTCAGACAGAAAGTACTTCTTCATGTATTCATGCTCACTTCACATCAGTGTCGGGTGTCGGAAATTGCATTTCACTTTAAGTGTCAGTATGCAACATCCAAAGTGAATATGCTCCTGAATTTGATCATTTAAAATAAAACATTGAGTGTCTTTCAAAAGGGTGTATGATCACACGACCAAATATGCAGTCAATAGAGTGAACAGAGGAAAACAGAGGATTGCTCTCAATGGGCAGCAGACTGTAACATAGAGAGCATATTCAAAACGAGGCATGAAATACCACCAGTTATATAGGTGGCCAGTAAACCAGAAAGATGGGGTGAGAGTGAGTGAATGAGAGAGAGAGAGAGAGAGAGAGAGCAGATCGCTGTGTAAGCAATCTCTTTGTGTTGATTTAGGAAGACGTTTACTGTGTATAACGTTTAGGGTTGATAATATCATTGGTCCGGCACATAAATAAAGCTTTGGCTAATCTATTGGGTCAGTTAGACTATCGATTCCCTCTGCACTCTCCAGAATAAACAGAGGCACCGAGACACGGTGCAGCCTGACAAGGAGAAGAAGCGATTTCACCCAGTTCGGCTCTCATTAGCATTCTTTGTCCATGAACCTACACAGTGGCGTCTAACAGAGATATCTAGCTCAACACCATGCCCGCTGTCTTCTTTTGTGTTAATATCTACGATTTCAACGAATTTTTCTGCCACCGTTTGTCAGAATAAATTTCAGTACAAGCCTGAGACCTGCATTTACTTATGCCTACGTTTGCATTTGACAGGCATGCTTTGTGACACTTGTAAAGACAGGAATCTTACATGCAACGTTTGGTCACCATATCAACCATCCCTCCTTCACGCTGTCAGCTGCTTAAATAGTGCATCGCAATTGTTCTGTGTTATATCCCTTTTACAGAGATAAATCTAATCGAGAGGGACTATTACAGATGTGTAACAAGAATGTAACAATCATTCTGATCAAAATCTAAACAATTTCTTGATTGGGTCTGATCGTGCAAATTAAAAATCATGTTTTTGAAAACTGTTTTAACCTTGTGCGCACATATATCGTTATTATATTTTAGCAAAACCGAAGGGTTATTTTAATCCTACATGAATTCTGATACTCGTCCACTGGGACGCAACAGCCATAACGAATGTCAGATTGCATGATATTAAAGAAATTAATGGAAAACAAACAGAAGTTCATTCATTTATGCAATCATTCATTTTTTTATCTGAGAATTTATTTATTTAATTCATTCATCTTATTTATTTATTTATTTCTTAGTTTAGTTGTTTATTTGTGTTCTATAGTTATAATTGTTTTCTGGATAACATGATTTAATTTCACTTTAAAATCTGTTTTCTCAAAACTGGACGCTTATTCTCTGAACACTATAAATAAATAAATAAATAAATAAATACATAAATAAATAAATTTGTACATGTGATGTGTGTGTTCGTGTGTGTGTGTGTGTGTGTGTGTGGGTTGGAGGGGCCAACATATCAAACAGTGACAGCTATCAGTTAGTAACTTCTTCCTTAGACCCCCCCCCCCCCCAACCCAACCCCCCTCCCTTTGAGAACCCCGTTTTTATCTTGCTTTGTTGTTATAAAATATGCAAGTCTCTCCGGAATGCCAGTCACGAGTACAAACTTTGTGTCCAACCGCCCACACGAAACGGTCCTTTTAAAGGAAACTCGATATGTCTCAATCTTCATTGCACTACACTCAAAGCTTTTGGGAATGCGATGTGGACCAAAACATTTAAAACAAAAGTCGTTTTTCTTTTTCTTTATTATTATTATATTTATATAAAAATGGTGTTCCAAAGATGTCCAAACTTAGACAAGAAAATCTCGAGTGAAGTCGAACGCTTCAACGGCTGCAAGGAGGTCCGCCAAAAAGTAAGACTAGTTGTGATTTTGCCTCTTCTGTTTCACTGGGCATGTATGCGTCTGAGTGAATGGGTAAGCAAGAAAACACGGGAATGGGGGGTGGTACGTGAGCGAGCGAGCGACGAGTGGGTACGTCTGTGTGCATGTGTAAGGTTGGAGTCGAGCTGTCACGAACAACAAATTAATCAACACATTTGGCATTTAAAGTCGATTGTGACCCCCTTTCTAGCTGACGTGTGCGTAGGGGTGAAATAAATCAACCACGACGTGGAGATGTACGCCAGATACCACGGAGCGAAGTTTGTACTGAACCGGAATCCTGACTCAAGAGGACTAAACGCAAACTGCAGCTGTAATGGGTGAAGTTAAAAGCCGACGTTCAATCCGATCGCTCTTTCGGCGTTTGAACAGTCGGATGCGTTTTTCAAATGTAACTTAAAAGCCTACAACATAATTTGATGGCAAAAAATGGAAAACCCTCGAAATACCTGTGGTGGAAAATCATGGGGATATTACCTGTTGCGTCTTCACTATGGACAGTCGGTTAACTTTAACAACTGGCACCACTGCGATAATTTTAACGATATTTTAATTTATAACATTTACGTTTATTTATTATTTTTTATTTTAACCCTAAATGCCAATTACTTGAATAGCCAATTCTATAATGGTTCGATGTGAGCAGTGGCTTTTAAAACTCACATTTGTAAAATAGTTGTCCGTATTGTATATTGGGCCCACGTAAATTCATTGCCTTTTGTTATTCCAGCTTTTAGGGCAATACACACCCTATCTTATAAACCTGACTTTCACAGTCGTCTTTTAGCATTCACCAAAAGGATTTTGACTGACGAGATGCTCTGCTGTCCTCGGTGTAATTTCGTTCAGTTTAATCTCAGTGCGATGAGTTTTACTATGAGGATTCAATCACATTCGCAGCGTAGTCAATGGCTGTAATAAGTAAACATTGTCACGCAACATGTAGGCCTACATCTGTAAATTGGCTACATATGTGCGAAAGTAACTCTTATAACTTGTAGTATAGATTCTTTATCATTACATTTACGTTTTGAGGATATTTTCACGTCTTTTCTCTCACATCTGCCTACCAGCGTAATTTCTCCATTAATTACTTTCTTTCTACTCTCTCCCTCAAAATCGCCCCTTAATCTAAGATCCAGAAACCAAAACAACACATTTGTACATATTTTTTCCTGTATTGCTCATACTTTAATTGTGAACTTGTTATTGATTTAGATATTTAGCTAATATTTGCTTTTTAAATTTAAATTATGTTTTTAGTCTTGATGGTTTATACCCACTGCATTATCTGAAATTCATTTCCTCAAAAATGTCTTCTTCATATATTAATGAGGTAAACAGAGTGTATGTGAGCAGTACACAACCATCTATCTATCTATCTATCTATCTATCTATCTATCTATCTATCTATCTATCTATCTATCTATCTATCTATCGTATATCGACCATCAGTTTAACAGTTCCCCTCTGTCTCCTTGTTGCTACAAAACTTCTTGGTGAAATGCTCATAATTTTAAACCCCCACCGAAATATATTAATTGATGTCACCTCGCTATGGTCTCCATATGCACATTATTATATAATTGCATTATTATATTATATCCATATTATTGTTTTGCACATTGTCCTTATGGAGCGGTTTTAGAGCGGCTTTGCAGTAAGTGAGGATGCGACCGCAGGTGCCACGAGCAACTGGATAATATGTAGCGAAAATCATTGTTCCCTTTTTTCAGTTTTGTCCGCATCCCTCCACTTTCTTCCCTTCTTTCGCGCGCGCGAAATATATATATCCATACTGGTGTAGGCCACTCCGAAACGTTTTGGATATTTGGTTAATGTATTCAGTTACCATGCAAATAATTTCCGTGGCGTTATTCGCGTGTATAGCTTCTTCCACATCTGACTCAATTTGCATTTGTTGATGATATCAGTACTGCAACCTAGTTGGATGGGGCTGGATGGGGGAGGGGTAGCTTAGGGTGGCCAGAAAAGACAAAAAGTGGACAAAGCCCCAAAGGTCAGCTGCTCTTTCATGGCGCGCTGGTGGGAGGGCTGCAGAGATTGGATTGGGTTGGCGCTTATTTGAAAGCGTGTCCGTTTATGCGTAAGAACGAAGAATACTTCACAAAGCGGCGGTCATATTTAAAACCAGCCCATTATACATTTACTCCATCGCTCAACGCACTGGCAAATCACAGCATGCAGACTATTCGAAATATATTAATATGGGAAATGGACGGGGAGGTTATGCGAGGAAAGCACTTGGGTTGCCATGGAACGAAAAAAAAACAAGATATTACGACGCTCCCGTTCCTTAGGTTCTTTGGTTCCACACATGTGTGCTTCTGCAGAAGGATGTAAGAAGATTTAAATACACAGAACATTTGCCAGGGTGTTCAGAAGTGTCAAGGCTTTTGGGCACCAAACCTAAATTTCTCCGAGAGATTTTGTGGCAAAGTATGAATTAAATGCATAACCAGAAGCAATTGGTAAATAATGACCGATAGGTCAGTTAGTTTGTTTAAATAAGCACAGCGCAGTTGTTAAAAGCAAGACTCAGTGTCGGCTGTCATTCAAGCTGGGAGACCAGAGACGGCGGTAGATTCGTCGTCACACTCTGTCCTTCATTACATTTAGGTTGATGTAAAAGTGTCATTTCCTTTGAACTAGATATGGTTAAAGTATCCCAATATCGTTAAAAATGCAAAATTTTGATTTTTGTTTTAGATATTTAATGTGTAATTTCATACAAGATTAACAGATGCACAATCATATATTAATTTTTTGGCAATGTGTTGTAAGTAGATTCTATATTTTTAATTGTGCACTTAGATTTTAGACAGTTTCCCACGATGAACATGAATATCGAGCTTCTTAACAACGATTGCGATTAATGTTGTTAATATAAGATATAAGATCACTAATAAGTTTTTATCTCTTTTCATATCATCAAACCAATTGCTTTCCTGTGTCAGTAGAATACAGTTCATCGGGGAGATTTTGTAAATATCCCAGTCTTAAATTCAAATTCAAGTGATTATTACCAATTTTCCGTGCGCTTGTTTGTTAGTGTCGATTATTTTAATGTGAAATTAAAACCAAATGGTACAGATGAATACCAGACGCGGTAGGTCGGGTTGTGGTGTGGGCTTCTTGAAACCTGGCCCGCCAAACGTCATAGTCTTTGTTTATTTCTTTCACATGAGCTAACTGACTCATGGTGTCTGAATATATCGGCGCTGCAAACGAATCGTTTCACACAGAGTCATTCTATCTGCCTCCGCTTCGGACTCCTTTGTACCTGTACACTAATTCCCCCGTCACCGTCTGTTGCTTCTGGGATTTGCTAGAGGGCGCTCTGCGTAGCAGGGACATAGCAGGAAAAGATTTAACATGCTAATTTATTTATTTATTTATTTCCTTTTAACGTATATGCCCAATAATGTTTCCGAACAGCGGCGTAGAAGCCGGGGAGGGTGGGTTCATTTGGCTCCATTGTATGCCGCACCCCCCCCAAATAAATAAATAATAAGACCTTTACATTTAAATTAAGTTGCTGCCCCCCTCCTCAAATCAAACTCTCTCCTACGCCATTGTCTCTGAATGCATGTTGCAAAATGTTAGTCTTTCGCTTTCTTTGATTTTTCTCTCATCGGCAACGTTGTTTGATTCTCGGAAAAACGTGTCCAGTACTTATTTGCTGCCTTACAGGTGATATATATGATATGTGGTACGTCGTATTAAAATATTTCGTGGAACCTCACTACCTTTATTAATCCTGCATTGTCATGTACGTTTGCCGACCGACGTTTCGTTTCATAGTATTTAGCAGGACGCGTTAACCGAAGTCGTTGCATAATTTGACTGGATGGATGAATTTTCTGTCAAGTAGCGCGGACTACGTCTTGCCATTAAAAAAAAGTGCCAACACACTCAGACTGGGGTTTTTTAATTCTTGTGAATATTTTTCAGGAATCTTCTGACGTGAGCGGGTACGATGGAAACGCAGCAGCTGTCTGTGATTCACCTGCGTGTATTTAAAATGACAATAACCGCATTTTTGAAAGTTATTAGTTTCTTAATCGGCATTGAACAAAAGGACCACTTGTTTTGAAAGTGAATGATTTTAATGACAGGCGCTGTCACTGTCAGAAAGTGAAACCACTAGTGAAAGGCTGCAGCCTTTCACTGTCTTCCTGTCCACGTGGGTGGTACCTCCATAGCTCAGGTGAAGTACAGCAGCCGGGGCTAGTATTGGATTTGGTTATAAATAACTAATTAACGTTCTGCTGCGTGGTAAACCAACAGTATTAGGCTAAACTATTGAGGGCATCGGTGACATTTATAAATAAGTTGCAGGACATGGTCAAGGAAAACCCGAATTGTCCAAACTTTGATGTATAATCCCAGAATATAGCAGTTAAGTGATAGACCTATGTCAAATTCTAAGTAGAGTTTATGTGTTTTAGAATCGTCATGGATTTATTGTTAAACGAATGACACACACTTCTGACCACGGAATATGACCTCCTTCTTTCCTTTATTCTTGAAGGCCCTTTTTCTTTACCAGTTTATCCTAATACACATTTCGCCAGTGTCCCTTTTCATCTTATTTACACAGGGTGGCGGATGCTGTTATGAAAACCTGTGTTAACAGGATTAAGTACAAACGTAATGTTTTAATTTCTGATCGCATTAGTGTAAGTGTTTGATATTTATAAGATTCATATATGAAGGTCATATACGTATGATATGGAACCTGCCGTAAATATCTAGGCTACATATTGTTTCCTCATCAGCGCTTTCTTCTTCTATTATTATTATTATTATTATTATTATTATTATTATTATTATTATAGTACAGATTGTACTAAATTATCTGCATTATACGTGTAAGCAGACTGGTGTTGTGGGTTTAGACAGCACCACGGTTAAATTCGGACATCGTCACACTTTCAGCTTCGCTG